GTCTTACCATTCCAGCCCACTCCCTGCTGTTCGGTATTCGAGCAGAAAAATCTCTCAAGATTTTTTTATCTCAACCACAAGCTGGTGTGAGCACGGCTTTCAAGTACGATTCTGCTCATGAGCTTGGGTCAGACTTATTCTAGAGAGGAGCTGAGGAGCCCAGGCCCTAGTGTGTGGTCGCTCATCCTACCTTTCCCCTCCCATTGGTGTGTGAAAACACTCCTGTGTATGTCCTTCCAGGCACTGATTCAGGGAGCTTTCCCATATCTGGTGCCAGTGGTCTTTTGAACCCAAGTGTGGGACTTTTCATTTACCTCCATTAAATGCATCTTGATCAGATTCTAGCATGCCATGATCTTCTTGTACCCCTATGACGGCGTCCATCATATTATCCAACCCTCCCAGTTCTGTGTCGTGTACAAATCTGGCAATCGATAGGACGGTGAGACCCAAGAAGAGATGATGAGTCAAACGCGCTAACTTAGGTAAAGCACTTTATAAGCCTTAAAACTCTGTATTAATGCTTTTATTATAATTATTATTAACTATTGCTGCTGCCCTTAGCTGGCATCTACTTAGCACATTAGGATTTGCAAAGTCCTTTTTTTTATTCTCACAAATTTTTCCACATTCCAGGAGAGATCTCCCTCAAGGTGAATCTCAGTTGGGGTATGGTCTTTGCATCCATCGAACTATGCTATCCACGTAGTTCCATCTTCTTCATAAAGGATATTATGAGATTCCAGACAGGAACCTCCAAAACTGATATGGCCTTTACCCCTTCACATGTTAAGTTGGCACACAGTCTGAGTGGCCAATAGAAGTTGGTATAGTACAGTGGAGCGGCCACTAAATCTGCAACCGTAAGGCACGGATTTGAGTCCGGGCTCTCCTGCTTGTAAGTCATGTGATCTTGGACAAGTCACTTAACTTCTCTGAGGCTAGGTTTCCATATCTGCAAAATGGGGCAATAATACTTGCACTTTCTCCATCACAGGATTGCTGTGAAGATACGATGAGAAAATGGATGAAGAGTAATAGAAATGGGAGTCATTATACCAGAAGTCTTCGTGTGCTTTCCTCCTTCTGTTCCTGCTCATGCCATCTCTCTCCTTGGAACTGCTGTGCCACGGACCACTCTTTCAAACCCAATCCCTGGCTGCCAATATTCTACCCATACTTCAAGGCCCAGTTCAAATGCCACCTCCTCCAAGAAGTCTTCCCAGATTCCCTATCTATCATCTATACTCCCTTGGCATTTGATTTGCATTACTCCTATTGCATTAATTATATCTTGTCTATTTCCCTGTGAACTTGTGGACAATTATGGTCTTGGTTTTAGATGATGCTGAAGGTCTCTCACTGTTCAAAAGATAGTACTAGATAGACCACTGGACTTGGATTCAGGAAGACCTGAATTCAAATCTTACCTCAGACACTTACGAGTTGTATGATCCTCGACAAGTTATTCACCTCTCATTTTGAGTGTTCCATAAAATTGGGATTATAATTACTCAGCTATAAAACTGGGATGATGATAATAGTGCCTATCTCACTGGGGTTACTAAGAGGATCAAATGAGATAATACATGTGAAAGCGATTCTCGAACTTAAGAGCACTATAAAAATATTAGCTGTTTATTATTATTACTATTATTACTTCCCTTTGAATTCTATAAGCTACTGAGGACAGGGACTGGGGATTTAGCTTTATATGCTCCTAACACTAAGCATGGTCTCTTATATGTGGTGGACTGTAAATAACTATGTTGGATGGATGAGGGTGGTAGTAGAGAATGGGGAGAAAGACTTTTTGGTTTTGTTTTTTTAACCTACTATTGAAGTTTAAGGCCTAGCCACACTTTGAAAGTGCAGCCTTGAGGCAGCTAGGTGGCACAGTGGATAGAGCACCAGCTCTGAAATCAGGAGGACCTGAGTTCAAATGTGACCTCAGACCAAACACTTGACACTTACTAGCTGTGTGACTCTGGGCAAGTCACTTAACCTCCACGGCCTTAAAAAAAAAAAAAAAGGTGGAGCCTTCTCTTCTCCAGGTTAAATATCCCCAGTTCCATTGATCAATAATATGCCCTCCAGGGCTGTCACCATCCTCAGAGTCCTCTTCTGGATGCTTCTAGTTGATCAAGATTATTCCTTAATGTGCTGAATTTAAAATAGTACTCCCAATGTAATCTGACCAAGACCATCACCTCCCTAGTCTTGGATACCATTGCTCTTACTGTAGAGTATAAGACTGCACATTACTCCTACACCCTGTGCTTCAATCAAATCGACCCCACTTTTTGGTCCGTGAACTCATTCTGGGCTCTCCTGCCACTATGACTTTACTTACTCTGTTCCCTATGATTAGAGCATTTTCTCTCCCTTTTTGTCTCTTAGGATTTAAAGAGTGGGTATGGATTTGACTTAAATCTCATCTCCCTCAGAGAGACTTCCTCAATATCTCCAGTAGTTCCTTAAGGCCCTCTTTCCTTCTTCTCTCTCTATGCCTTTCCCAGGCTGTCCTTCATGTCTGGAATCAATCACTTAACCAGTAAGTTATTAAAAGTCTATGAGGGGGCAGCTAGATGGCACAGTGGGTAGAGCTCCAGCCTTGGAGTCAGGACCTGAGTTCAAATCTGGCCTCAAACACTTCACACTTACTAGCTGTGTGACCCTGGGCAAAGTCATTTAATCCCGATTGCCTCACCAAAAAGGAAAAAAATACGTCTGTGTGCTCGGAAAGCTGAGAATACATAGATGGAGAAGAGGAAGACAAAGGGTCCGGGGTTCAAATTCCACCCGACACTACCTCTGTCACCTTGGGCATATCTTTTCATCTCCCTAAGCCTCAGTAAGATAAGGGAGTTGGAACAGGTAGCCCCAGGCCCCTTATAACTCTAGGTCTAGTATCCTTTTATCTTACTAGCACACCAGGCACACCAGATCAGTCACCACCCTCTTCATGTGTTTGAGCCTTTGTTCAACCTGTACGCCACATCCAGAATGGATATCACCTCCACATATACATGTTAAAATCTCGCCTTTCAGGGCCCAGCCTAGGCACCTTCCCTGGTGGAAAGGGTTGTCTCACCTCAGATTTGCCATAGCGCAAAGGAGACATCCGGGCAACATGCTTGGGACCAGAGATGATCACAGTTTTACAAACCCCCCACCCTCCAATTAGATTAAGTGACCCTGAGGGCAGATTTTATTACATCTATCTACATCTTCCCCAGGGCAGTTTATTGCTTCTTAGGCATTAGTTTTGCTTCTTTAACCATACCTTTTGAATCTTCTAGGGAATTTTACAAAGATGGTATTTCCCTCCGTTGAACTCAACTCTGTTGAGGAATGGTTAAGTCCTAATTTATTGGTCCTTCTAGCGGCAGGGTGGGGAACCCGTGGCCTCAAGGCCACATGTGATCCTCTAGGGGCAGGGCCACACTTCAGGACCTAGAGGACCACATGTGACCTTGACGCTACAGGTTCTCCATTCATTCTAGCCCACCGTGAAGAAGAATAATGGGGGTTATGGGAGAACAGCGCTTGTTTGTATAAGAATTGCATACATGTCACGAAAGCAACCCCTTCCCCCAGCAAAATAAAGGATTTAAAAAATTATACTAGTCAGAAGCTTATGACCTAATCTGAAAGAGAAATCCTTATCAAGAGTCTCTTAATTCTGTAACCAGGTCTGTTTCCCCTTCTTCTGATCGGCTCAGGAAGGACTGTTCCCTTGAAGTGACTAGGTCCAGGTGAGGGGCCCTTGACAGGATTAGGGCAATGCTTCACCTAAGAGAAGGGAGAATTCTCTTTGATGACTTTGGTTTATGGATGTTGGGGCAGTACTGGTTAGCTGGAAAGGAAAACTCATGGTTAAAGGGGAACTGAATGGCTTCAGGAAAATGATGGAGAGGAGGAGAAAGTTAAGTGACTATTCTTTTGCATAAAAAAGCAGACTGTGAACTGATCTGCTGCCTGAAATCTGCTCAGTCTTGAGTGTTAAACATTACTTATTCAAGAATCCTATGGGACTCCAGAATAACTTAGGGAGAAAGATGGCCAAGGGAATGAATGAGCAGAGTCTGCTAGTTTGGGAATCTATTTCTCTAAACTGAAAAATGCTTGGATTAGGCTAGTGATAAAAATAAAATTGTTTCTGGCAGGCTTTTTCCCTACAACTTCCCTACATTAATTTTTTTCTACGATATTAATATGCAAGCTTGGATTCTATATGTAACTTACTGGCTAAAAAAAAACAAAACCAGGCTTGCCCCAGTAGCCTCTGGCTGATTCTCACCTGGCATATGCATGTGCCCATGCACATAACCCCTTAAATTCCAGAGTACCAAAGGTTATCTTTCCTGCATCCCATATAGCAATGGAAAGACTAGTTTTATTGCAGGTCTTCACTGGTGATCTTTCTTATTCAGGCATATGGGTTGCACAAGATGGCCTCTCTGGTTCCTTTCAAATCTGAGATTCTATGATCCTATCAAGAAACTAGCTAAGACTGACTTTCTCTTTCAGCACTCCAGACCTGGGGTCTACTCCAGAATGCCATCTACCTAAGAATAAAACTTCAAGTCTTTAAAAATGCTCCCGTGGTGATTCAGATGAATTTGGTTTGGTTGCTGGGTTTCCCATTAGGGGGCACTGGCTTGCCATACTCTTGGACTGCAACCAAGGCAGAGAAGAAAATGAGCACGTCAGGGACTGGATGTCTTCTAATATTTTCAACTACACTGTGTGAAACATATATAGAAAACAGCAAGTACATCTCTGCTTAGAAGCGCCCACATTGAGGTCATTTAAATGTCCTGGGCAAAATTCAACTGAAAGAATCTAATTGTTGCATGGAAAAGATGTTGCTCATCTTTCTGTTCTGGAGGGATGGAAATACCTGTCCTTTATTGCATCTTTCGGCCCCACTGCCTCCCCCCACTCCCCAATCCTCAGCACTTTGTTCGGAACAACTCAGTGGTTTTTTGCAGATGAAAAAGTTGACCCACACTTTGATTTTCTTTATTTTCAATCGATACGGTATGAATACAAAGTTTCTAGAAAGCTACAAAAAGTCTACCACTTCCTCAAGAAGGCATCAAAATGTGTCACTTTGCAAAGACATGAAAACACCTGCAGTAACTGACACAAAAATAGCATTTTTAGAGTGATGAAATAATTGCACTTAACTGGCATGGATATTAAAGTTATCACACATGTACCGCGAAAGCTAGAATACATTTTTTTTTTTTACAAAGCACTTTATAAAAAAATTCTCTGCACACAAACCCTATAATTTTCATATTACTATCATACTAAAGATAAATTCACTTTAAAGCCAACACTTAAAACATTTTGAAACAAAAAAAGGTACCAGTACCTACACACAGACAATAACAAATACCAGAATACTGTACTGCCAAGAGATTGAAGTGAACTTCTTTTGGAAATTTCTGCAATTAGGTTAAAGAAATATGTGAGATTTTCTCTACCCTACCCCCCTCCCCCAACAGGGTCCCCCACCCCCAATCTAACAAAAAGGAAACGCTTTATCAAAAGGCAGTTTCCACATCAAGTCACCAGCAGCAGTACAATCATAAAGTAACCACTGACCATATATGAATATGCTTAAGTCACAAATCCATTTTTATACACATTACACGAATAAACATAAAGTGAGAATTCCATTAAGTCATTTACAACGTGAACAGATGCACATGGCAAAAACGGGTTTACGTAAAATGTACAGATAGTAAAGAATTAAAGGCTATTCAGGTTTTTTTTTTTACTTTTGTTTTTTGTTTTTTTTTTTTGTTTTTTACTGTTATAAAATTCTTCTGTCATTTTTCAGGCACGTACTGTATTTATTTTATTTATTTATTTTTTGTCTGCAGTCATGAGCCTGAAATAAAAAGGCCCATAAAAAAAAGTGTGTCTTTTAAGGAGGTAACAGGGAAAAACATCCTTTGTCAACCAAGAGCTTTCAACAGCTAATTGACACAATGAAGATTATGAATATGAAACTGGAAAAGTCAGAGACTGGTTTCCAATTGGCTTGTACTTAAACACTAACAGCTTCTTTTTCAGAAGAAACAGAAGATGAAGAAGAAAGAATGCACAATCTGATAATCGAAGGCAGACAAAAAAAGGGCAACCTGAGAGAGGTCTGAAACTGAAATCTATAACGATTGATGATTAATGATAGAGAGATTAAATATCATTTAAAAAAAATCAGATCAAACATTTCAGAGTACACAGACTCCAAAATAAAACTTCACAGGGAGTAAGAAAACCAACTACATCCAAAGAGTTACGACAAGAAAAGAAATACAAGTATTTCAACTATTCTCATGGTGGGTTGACTTCTGCTAGCTGTCTACTGGTGTTAAACATTAATCATACAAGCTTCACTTTGAAAGATATAGGCGATGGGTTTAATCAGGCTGGAAAACTATTGCCAAATGAAACTGAGCTTAAAAAAAGGGGGAAGAATGGGGAAACAAATATTGTTAGAGCTTCAATTTCTTTCAAGGCAGGGTGCAGTACCAAGACCTATGGTTTGGAAACTCAAGTAGCTAACTAGCTTGTGTAGTGTTTGAACAGAAATGGCCAAATTTTAGTGGCATTCCAGATAAGTTTCTTTTCATATGTAAATCTTCATAGTACAAGGATTAGAGGGTGAGTGTGGAGAGAGAGGTACAGAAATCGAGTGATCTAAAATAAAATTTCAAATTTAGAAAGAGTATTCTCATGATAGATACCACGCAGGAGTGGACAATATATGTCAAAAGTTCACTAAGTGACTATAAAACTGTTTGTAATAAAAACACCTCTCTTTTAGGTTTTGGTTGGGCTGGTGTTTTGCCCTGGTCCCCTGGCCCAACCCCTCACGTTCATTTTCCATATAATGTATGGCCTGGATCTCAAAAGGTGACAAAAGCAGACACTGACTTTGAGGAGTTGCCTTCCTTGGGGCTGAAACATTTCTTGAAAATGCTGAGTTGTGAATGGTGCTCTTTGGGAGGTTTTTCAAAGCACATTCAGACATCCCACTCGAGAGTCAACATTTCCAGGCTAAAAAAAAAGCTGGTTTGGATTTGATTTACCCTACTTCACTTTGGTTCTGTACTTTTATCTCAGTCTGGTGCTTCCAAATTTCCAAAGAGTCTAACTTTGTAAACAAAATAAGTGCACACTAGAACTAGTAGAAAAATGAAAGCCTTCACAGGAACTGAAATGCTCAACAGAAAGGAGACCGAATGAACCCAAAGTTGTAACGTTTGTCCACTGACAAATGGTTTCTGTGGCTCGTGTTCCACAGACACAAGACTGAGCAAGGAGCTGAAAAAGGGAGGACATGGGTAATCTGGATACGTTAACATCCCAATTACTGGTCTTCACGGCTATAAAGTGATGGTGGAGAGTAGAAGGTTCCGGACTCGACTATCTGATTACTGGTGGCCAGCAGGTTACCATACGCAGTGCTCTCTTGTAAATGGAGGCCTAGAGTTCTGTGTTTTTTTTTTTTTTCCCCCTCATTCCAATAAACCAAAGGCATTACGGTGATCTCTAAATATTTTTGGTCTCTCTACAAATTATCATCATTATGGCAGCACTTTTCTAAGCTGGAACGGCAAACCAAAGGCACTTTCATGCTAGAGTGAAAATTCAAAAATAGTTAAGTATTTGGTCGTAAAATTTAAAAGGCAGCATCATAAGTACTTTTCACGGAAAACTATGAAGTTGTAACCTTTCATTTTGGTATATACATTTAAGAGCATAATGATGGGATTGACTTGTGTATAATTTCATGTTTTAGACCAAGTAGTCAAAAAAAAAGCTTCTGATGGAACCAAAGAAAACAGGTGCTCGTATTTTTGTTCATTTGTTTTTTGAATGGAGCCAATTTGTAAAATAAGGTCAAAAACGGCTCTAAGAAAAGGCTGGTGGCACGTACATCTAAGAGAACACTAAGGCACTGCATACTGGAATGCTTTGGCAGCTGTGAATTAAAAAGTTCCTAGAAAAGTAACAGTTATAAGAGAAATGCTTCCAGCTTACAAAAGGGCTCACAGGTTCCAGGCGGCCTTTTGTACCACACACCCCACGTTGAACATCCCAAGGATTTAAGGCTTTTCAGAATGAACGTGTGCAGGGCTTAGCCACATACAGAAAAAAAGTGAAGAAAAAGCCATGCAAACACTTCCTCCTAAAATGACGCATGAACAACACTGATACACAGGCTTGGAGAAACCTGACGTCAGGACAGACGCAGTACCGGAGCATAGAAAACTGTACCTGGTTTGTAAAATGGATTGTTCTATTGTTATACAATTCAAATTGTTGACTGTCCTACAAATAAACAAACTGCTAAAGCCACTATGGTGTTGGGAGTCCTAAAGAAGATTTGGCTTTCAAAAAAAAAGTAATTTGAGAATAGAGGGTGACCTTTGGGCTGTCAGGATGCCGTGCTCTTGCTGATGGGATGGTCAGCATCAGAAACTTGTCTAGAGGAGCCTATGGTGGAAGGTGAACCATGCACAATGCTAACTAAAAGGCTCATCAGCTTTACTATGTGCAGATCCACGACATGACTATAAGACAGGTCCTCAGTCAGCAGGCAGCGAATGATATTCACATAGAGTTGTGTCTTAGAAAGATTGGTATCACTTCTATAAAACAGTCATCTTGCCCCTTCCACAGCCTCTCCAGTCTCAAATGACACCTTCCTCATTCCATTTATCCCCTGTCAAAGTCTGGGTGATCTCTCTCCCAGTCAAGATTCTTCTTTCTAAATCTTCCAGGGTCCAAAAAAAAAAAAAAGGATTTCCCCTGGAGTGTCTATAGAAGTCCTAATGGGATGTCCTGGGAAGCGAAAACTTGGCAAGGCTCCAAAGGAAATTCACCAAGATGGCAAAGATACTAGGAATGAAAGCTCTGAGGAATGATGGAAAGGGATGATGAAGAAAAAGGGCTCTCTTTCTATAAATGAGGGTGGACAATGGGAAACCAAGCATTCACCATCTCTATCAGGAAGGGAACAGGACTTAACTGTAGCAAGAAAGTGATGAGAAAAGACGCTGTGGGAAAAGACAAGCATAAGTTACTCATTGGATCTCTTTACCTGGTGATTTTTCCAGGACCTGTGGCAAATCACTTAACTCCATGGGCCTCAGTTTCCTCATCTATCAAATGGGGTGGGGGGAATTATTGGATGAGATGGTCTCTGGGGTTTGAATAACTGTAGGTTTATAATCCTCTATTTCTTCTCCACCTCTGTTGAGTGAGGTAGTCCTGAAGCCAGGATTCGGCAATGTGTAACGGTGGTTGGTTGTCGTTCTTTGCACTTAAAGAGGACCAAAACGGTGTCACTATGTTGGGGTCAAGGTATAGTGTGTCTGACTGTGGCTGATCAGACCAGTAGGAGCTCGGAAAGCTCTTTCACAGGTTGGACACTGGGACTGAAGGGGATCTGAAAGAAACAATCCCAATTTTGACAGCTAAGTTCATTAAATGTCTTTGGCCCTAAGTTTCTTCCTTTTGTGAAATGGTGGGTTAGGCCAAATCATTGTTTCCAAAATACCAGCAAGAAGACATTTTATTCTAAAGACCTTTTACTTTGTAAAACCTATAAACATAAACAAACCTGCTGACTGTCCTACTTTCTACCTTCTGGGGCTCACAACTTCTGTTTCTTTCTTCCCAGGTCCCCATCGCCACTCCCATGAGATCAGTCTAGTATGGGATGGGAAACGCTGGACCACATGACCTCCAAAGGGCCTTATTAGTGCTAACCTTCTATTTAAGACAGTCTCCAAAGCAGTCCCTGATTCTATGCTGGGTCTTTCAGGAAAACAAATGGGAATGGAGTTGTGTCTGAGTGCCTCAACTTTCCTCACCACCCAATTTAGTGTCCTTTTGTCAATACACACTCATTTCAGGAAACAGACGGAGGGACCCCACAGTCCCTGGTGAAAACTGGCATGACAGAAGGCCTAGAAAGAAGGCAGAGGGGACCAGTGTTTAAGAGGACTGGTTTATCACATGGGTCTCATTCCTGGAGGTTTTTAGTTCTATGACCAGAATACTATAGAGGAAGAAATGACAAAGGGGAGCCTGCAGGAAGGCCTCAGATAAACTTCTGTAGCGCCCTCCAGGAGAATTTAGGGGAGGACAGATTGCTAGGAAGAGATGTAAGAAACACAGAAGCTGCGGCTGAAGGGGGCTACAGCACATCCAAAAGGTCTCTGCCCTACTGTGTGTGTGTGTGTGTGTGTGTGTGTGTGTTTAATGAGGCAACTGGGGTTAAGTGACTTGCCCAGAGTCACACAGCTAGTGAGGTCTTCTGCCCTACTGTTGAGAAGTACTGGATGAGAGAAAGCGTCAGCTTTGGAAAAATGAAGGATTAAAAAAAAACCCACCCAAAATTTTAAAAGAGGTGATAAATATCAGTGTTTTTAGCAAAAAGCAACCCCAAACCCACTCACTGACAACACCGCAAAACCCCAAACAAAGATTTAAGGAGCAGAAGGAACACAGAGGTGGAATTCACATCAAAAACCACCTGAGTGGTTTGTCACACAAAAGTGTTGAGGATGAAAGATGCCTACGTGTCAACAACTGTGACCAGGGTGCTATGAATCCAGCGGGGGAGGCCTGGGACACCAAGCAGTGCTGGGTTTTGGTTTTTTTTAAATCTCTTCTATCTGGTACTTCTACATAAGATATTTCTGAGTCTCTTTTTTGTGCTTTGAAAAATAGATTGAAATACCCCTCCTGTTTGCTGGCCACACAAGTTGCTTATGCCTCCCTCCAAGCACAACTGCCTGAAAGGGTAATGGGACCACCATGGGAAGAAGGTGGGCAAGACACCAAAAGTCTTGGTTCAGTTTTAAGTTACTAAAGCTTAAAGTTGCACAAAGACTTTTGGGACACCTTGTATTTTGGAGACAGCCACTTAGCCACAGGACAAGAAGATGTAATCCAAAAAGATGCACAAAGCCTTAAAATAAAGGGCCATCTGTGAGCAGCTGTGAATAGGCCAGATGGGCCTTGGAAATAGGAGTAAGGACAACATCTGGGTCTGGCCTAAGTTGAGTGCAGGCTTTGTAAAAAGGACTGGAGCTCAGCACCATTTGTCCTTCAGCTCCGAAGACACAGCCGCCCCCACAGTTCAGCACAATGTGCGATCTCCCATCTTGTCTTCCCAGAGACAAAGTGCACACCCTTGTGAAATGCAGGGTGTGCCAGGAAAAGAAAGAGATTTAGAATCAAAGGACCTGAGTTCAAATCTTGACTCTGCTACATACTGGCTGTGTGATGCCAGGATAGCCTCTTGGTCTTTCTTGGCCTCAGTTTCTTCAAACGAAAAAGGAAAGATCTGGGAAAGATGATGACTAAGGCCCTTTCCAGCTCTAAATCTGACTATATGAAGCAGTCTTTATGTGGGTGATGAGTGGCACAAAACTGGCATTCGATAAGCATGGAAGGAAGGAAGGAAGGAAGAAGCACCACGTTCTGTAACCTGAGCCTTTTAATGACCTATATAGTATCAGAGTTGAAAGAACCCAAGTGACGTTATCCCTCTCCCTAACTCTAACTGCTGAATGTATTTGAGTATTTGAAGAGGGAAGAAGTGAAGTCTTCTACAAGAAAAGAGCTCCCAAATGAGCTTGTTTCAAAGGAATGAGCACTGACATATCCACCAGGGTTAGTCACAAATGGCGTGCCCAAACCTTAAGGGGGTTAGTCAGCACATAGAATTGAAGGGTTTGAAGAGATGTTCAGAAAATGCCTCTTGTCTGGGTCCATGCAGAGACCATAGCTATTCAGGTGAATGTGGGTCTGTTAAAAGAAGCCCAGGTGGGCCTGGGTTGTTCTGGGTGGCAGCGATACTAAAGCAGATGAGCCTTTGGAATTTGGTCTACACCATCTTCTTCCCACCACAGTCCTCTCTCTACTTTGCAGCTAACAGTGCAGTATTCATGCCAATTTTAACTCTTATTTTGTTACTAATAATTTCAGTGTTTCCAATTCTTCCACTCCAATTAATAGAAAATTTAGTTGTCCATATAAAATATAACTGCACACATGACTACAATGTAAGTTTAAAATTTCAGTATTTACCTACTTATTGCAAAACAAGCCATCTTTTTCATTAAATAATCAAATCTTCATATTAGTACAATACAATTTTATATTTTTAAATACACTCTATATGTTATGTATAAGGGATGACATTTTCTTTCTTTGCAATACCTGTTCAGATGTTTAATGGATTAGAGAATTAGTTTTAAATGGTGAGGAAAAAAATACAATTTTGCCTCATTAGGGTCTTCCTACCAAGCTTTTCTTAAGGCTACATTGTAACATTTGGTTTCAAAAAGGAAAAAAAAAGGTTTCATTTAAAAAATAATTTAGTGAATTACATTCGTTTCACCCTAATTAGTTACAAAGATAATTCTAAAGTTTCTTCACTTTGTGTTCTCATTTACATTTATACTTAAAGTTTCACTTTAATTTTACTTGCATCTTAAAACAAGTACTTTATGTTGGAAAAAAAAAACTAAATACATTTGTATAAATGCTGTAAATTTCCCATGGCAAATGCTTCTGTCTTACATTTTCTACCACAATTAAAAACAGGCCTCCTCAGACAGAGACCTCCGTTTCTTAAGTGTCATCTTTCCCAAAGAAGTGTGGGTTACAAATCTGAAGAACACATCATTTTAGAAAGAATTTTTTTTTACAACTGTACCAGAATTTCACAGCTACAATGATATATGAACACATGAAATATGACTGACAAGATTTAGAAATCCGTGGGGGCCGCCCTGGACCAGGGGCCCGGCCACTTAGTACTGAGGTTTACAGTCTGTCGTTTCATGATGACGTGTGTGTGTATGTGTGTGTAGATGTATATATAAATAACCGTGCTCAGTCCTTTACAAGCCTGTAAATATGGTGCTGTGCTCCATGTTCACTATTTGAAACTTCAAATACGCACGCCATGCACAGGAGGGTTTCTTGTGTATCCCTGTTCGTCACCACCTGTAAGAGACAGACCACACACGGAGTAAGGAGGGCTCTTGACAGGTGCACCCTGCAGTTCAAATCCCATTCACTCAATGCTACGACAACCACCATTCATTTGAAAATAAATACGTGTAAGCTCTGGCCAATGGCCACATAACCTGCTCTGAAAGAACTGCCCAAAGAGATGTTTCAGATAAACTACCTGAACCATCCACAGGATTCTGACGTGGGCCCACCTGTAACGCTGGTGTCCTGGCAGACTCTGAGGACACACTTATAGAGGGCAGGAGGATGTTCTGTAGAGCACAGAATCTCAGAATCGGAAGGGACCTCAGAGCTCATCTTGTCCAAACCAGACCCAGACAGGAAGAACTCCCCCTAAATCGCAGGTACTTTCATGGCTCCCCACTTTGGCAGTCTGGTGAAGCCTATGGACCCCTTCCCAGAATCATGTTTTTCAATGCTTAAAATGAAATACTACAAAGCAACCAATTACACAGAAATAGTTATCGCAATATTTTTAAGAACAAGTTTGTGGAGCCAAGGTTGAGAAATCCTACTCCATGGTATCCCAGATGAGCGGCAGTCTAGTGACGAGGTACTCCTACATCATTCTTGAAACAGCCCATTCCCCAATGGGGCAGCCCTAATCATGAGATGTGATTTCTTACATCAAGTCTAAACCTCTCTATAACTTCTACCCATTGATCCTAGTTCTGACCGTCAGGGTCAAATCCAATCCCTCTTATTCTTAGAAAAAGCTCTCGATTTTCCCCTGAACCTTTTCATCTTCAGTCCAAACATGAGTTGTTTCAATAAAGCTACATATATGGTTTAAACTCAATACAAATAAATAAAAAATAAACAGAAATTAATAATAGAAATAATATTTATAAATATGGAAATAATAAAAATATAAATAAATAAACTCAAAACCTCCCTCCTACCTTATTACTGCAGAGGGCAGCACCATCCTCCTGGTCCCCTCAGTTTCACAACCTAGGAGTCATCCTGGACTCTTCACTATCTCTCACCCCCATATCCAAGTTGTTGTTGAGGTCTGTTGATGTCAACATCTTTAAAACATCTCTCCAATATTCTCCCTTCTCTCCTTTGACACTGCTTCCACCCTGGTGCAGACTCTCATCCCCTCACATCTGGATTATCGCAATAGCTGCTGGTCAGTCTGCCTGCCTGAAGTCTCTCCCCACTCCAGTCCATCCTCCATTCAGACACCTAAGTGATCTATCCAGGCACATGTCATTCTCCCACTCAATAAACTCCATTGGCTTCCTATCACCTCCAGAATCAAATATGAAGACCTTTTCTCAATGTTTAAAGTCCTTCATACTCTAGCTCCCTCCTATCTTTCCAGTCTTCTTACACCTTACTCCCTGACACTTCCTCTTCCATCCAGTGACGCTGGCCTCTGGCTGTTCCATGAATAAGACACTCCATCTCTCAGCTCTGGGCATTTTTTTCTGGCTCTCCCCAATGTCTGGAATGATTTCCTTCCTCATCTCTACCTACTGGCTTCCCTATCTTCCTTTAAGTCCCAACTAAAATCCCACCTTCTATAGGCAGACTTTGCCAACCTCTCTTAATTCCAGTGCCTTCCCTTGATTAATTACTTCCTATTTATCCTGTATATAGTTTGTTTCGTTTTTATTTGTTTGCATGTTTTCTTCCCCATTAGGTTGTAAGTTCTTTGAGGGCAGGGACTGTCTTTTGCCTCTTTTTGTATCCCCAGCACTTATCAAAGTGCCTGGCACATAGCAGGCACTTAATAAATGCTTACTGATTGATTGATTGATATGTCACATCTGTAATCTTGGGACACTTTCCACTTGATCCATATTCTTCATAAAATGTAGTGCCCAGAACTGAACACAAGATTGCAATGAGGTCTGAGCAGGGCAGGGGACAGCAAATGGGACTGTCACCTCCCTCTTTGTGGACACCGAACTTCTCTCGATTCAGCCTGTGATTATCCCCTCTTCCTTGGTTGGCCTATCATAATGAGAGCTCTACCTACCAAAACTCCCAGGCCTGACTCCCTCATCTTGTATTTGTGACGTTGGCTTTCTGAATCTGAATGTCAGACGTTGCATCTATACTGATTACATTTAAAAAAATTAGATATGGCTCCAAGGTTTCGCCTGGACTTCAAACGCTTCAAAAACCACTAATGACTATCATCCTGGTAAGCTGCACTTCGGGGTAGAGCACTGGACTCAGTCAGGAAGACCTGAGTTCGAATCCTACCTCAGACACTGACTAGCTCTATGTCCCTGGTCAAGTCTAACTTCACCGTGTCCTCAATTTGTTCATCTGTAAAATAGGGAGAATAAAAACTACTTCACAGAGTTGTTGTGAGGGTAAAAGTAGACAGTACTTGTAAAGTACTTTGCAAACCTTAAAAGTGCTATAAAAAAAAAAGCTGTTCTCTTTCCTTTTCTCCTTCTCCCTTTTCTCCTTTCCCTTCTTCTTCCTCCTCCTCCCTCTTCTCTTTCTTCTTCCTCTCCTCCTCCTCCTCCTATTTCTTTTCATTATTATAGACTGCAGCTCCTCTATGCTTTGGTAGATGGTGTCATGGGTTACAGTGGCCCAAAAATGTGTCACCCGGTAACCACCAGCCTGCCAAGGAGTTTCCTGGCTCTCAGTAGGGCTGTTCCTTGGGGGAAAGACACACTGAACTTGAAGACTCGACATCCAGAATTACCAGAGCTTGGGCTCTGTCAGCACAGCCTTGAGCCCCCGGGGTCACCTTCATGTCAGCATGAGGCACCAGAAGACTTCAGGACAGGACTAGCACATTACATTTAAGAAACGGCTGGCATGAGCAATTCAACAAATTGGAGGCATTTGTGTGGTCTTGCTTCTTTTGATAATTACTCACTTACAAGGGGAAAAATTCATCTCATTTTATTTTATTATTGCATTGCATTTCAGAGCAAGCAGTGCTATAATCTAGCATCATGCAGAAGAAGATTATAATGCCTGGAGAAGTGAAGGACTGGCTGGCAACTGACCCGTCCCCTACCATACTCACCAACTCTTCTCTTTTCCCTTCCCTTCCCTTCCCTTCACTCTCTCTCTCTCTCTCTCTCTCACTCCTCTCTCCTTCTCCCTTTCTCTCTCTGTCTCTTTCTCCCTCTCTCTCCCCACTCCCTCTCCCCTTTTCTGTCTCTCCTTTTCTTTGTCTCTCTCACCCTCTCCCTTTCTCTGTCTCTCCCCATTTTTGCTTCTCTCTCTCCATCTTGTCTCTCTTTCTCTCTCCTCTCCTCTTTTCTGTCTCTCTCCTTGTCTCCTCCTTTCCTTTTCTCACTCTCTCCATCTCTCTCCCTCTCCCTTTCTCTCTCCATTTCTCTCTTCCTCTCCCTTTCTCTGTCTCTCTCTCCCTCTCCCTCCCTTCTGTCTCTTTCTCCTTCTCCCTCTCCTTCTTTCTCTCTCCCTGTCTCTCTCTTTCTCTCTCTCTCTCCCTCTATTTTATGTGGGTTAGGCTCAAATGCTCTCAGTTGAAGCCTAGATGTAGACCCTGCCCCCAAGCTGTATTCCTTTGAGCTTTCCTTCTCATCAGGCATCCCCATAATAACAATAAAAATACAGAGATATCGGGGTCGACTGCCCTCACATAAAGCTTTATGTCACTGCAGATACACGGTGCCCTCTGACATTCATTTCTAGCCTATCCTCCCACATGGCTGAACCTCTGGGCTTTCTTCTCTTTTCTGCAAACTGATGAGAAACAGTATTCTTGAGCTCTATTTTCATTTTGGGGCAAATTCATGTCTTTACATACAGAACCATCATCACTGGTGACTCCAAAGTGGGATTTCCTGTACAAGAAGGTTCCTGCAGTTATTGGAACTCTCATAAACCTGCTGTCTGGTTGGCCCTGGGAATGTATTTGGGGACAATATTCTATCTGAAAAGAGAATTAGCACCTTGCTTAGAAGTCACCCATAGAAGAATATGACCTACTGAAATTCAGAGACAGATATTTGAGTATCTGCTAACCTCTCATTTATATATTTAGAGCTGGAAGGGACTTCACAAGGCATAAAGTCCAATCCCCAAACTTAGGCTCACAAAACCTTGGTCAAATCACTTAAGCAACAGGTCCATTCTTTCCCCTGTACTATGCAAGCTGCTGCTTCCGCTCATTGACTATGTAGTATTAACTAGCTCAAACTGATTTAGAGATAGCTAAGTGGGGCACTGGGTCAAGTGTTGGCAGAAGACCTGGTTCAAATCCTGCCTCAGACATTAGCTGTGTGACCCTGGGCAAATCACCTAACCTCTATCAGCCTCAGTTTCTTTCTCTGCAAAATGGGAATAATAATGGCACCTACCTCCTGGGGTTGTTGTGAGGATCAAATGGGAAAATGTATGTAAATTTATGTGGAATAATTTAATATTGCAAACATTAAATTGCTACATAAACATGAGCTGTTTTGTGTTTGTTTTATGGTTTACAAAGTGCTTTCCTTAGAACAACACAGGGAAGGCGGCAGCAGCCGCATCTCCCCCCATTTAACAGAACATACTTCAGCCTCTCTCTTCCAAATAAGGTGAGGAGTGGGAAGGAACGAGAGGAATTATTCAGTATCGCTGGAAATAAGTTAACCCCTTACCAACAAAATTGTAAAATTTTCCAAGACACTGTTCATCATATACTTCTCTGGTAAATGCTTGAGCTTGTGGATGAAGTTGATCATATATTCACACATTGGAGAGCGGTTTATTCTATACACAAATCGGCCATTCTCAAACCTGGCGTATTCCGTCTGAGGAGAGGGAAAAAAAGGTGAACGTTTCTGTAAATTTAAAAATACACACAACAGCTGACTACTGCCTGATGATTTTTGTGCTGTCCCACGGGGAGGGAAGGGAAGAGGGAGAGGGAGAGGGAGAGGGAGGGAAGGAGGGAGGGGGGGAGAAAGAGAGAATGGGAGGGGGAGAGAGAGAGAGACAGAGAAGGGGGAGGAGAGAGGGAGAGAGGTAGAGGGAGAGAGAGAGAGAAAAAAGAGAGAGAGAGGAGTGAATGGAAGGGAGGGAGAGACAGAGAGGAGAGGGAGGGAAGGAGGGAGGGAGGAAGGGAGGGAGAGAGATAGAGAGGAGAGAATGGGAGGGAGGGAGGGAGAGAGAAGAAAGAGAGAGAGGAGAGAATGGGAGGGAGGGAGGGAGAGACAGAGATGAGAGAAAGGGGGAGAGGGAGGGAAGGAGGAAGGGAGGAAGGGAGGGAGAGAGACAGAGAGGAGAGAATGGGAAGGAGGGAGAGGGAGAGAGAGAGAGAGAGAGGGAGAGAGGGAGAGGGAGAGAGAGAGAGAGAGTGTGTGTGTGTGTGTTTGGAAGGCAGTAAGGGTCAAAGGTGAATTCCATCACTGGGCTTCTCTTTCTCAAGTACTAGATATCTAATTATTCCCCTTCAGCACTAACCCCAAATGAACACCTCCCCAAGATGGCTGTCCACCAGTATTTAGATGGGAAGCAGAGTTGAGATAGTGGAGAATGAAGCAAGTTTCAAAACAGGTTTTCCTCCTGATACTTGTCAACAGCAGCTCCTGGGCCCTACCTGGCCTGGAGCCAAAGAGTCATATGTGACATTAGTCAGTTCATGCCTTTTCACCCAAAGCAGTGAGGATGAAGGCAGCCAGAAGGAACAGAAGTGTATGTGAAATGCCAATCTCTTAGCTAAAAGCACAAAAGCACTATCTCACCCCAACCCCTGCAGCCATCTCTCGGTTGGTTTTGCCCCAGAGCTGAGTGGCTTCAGAGGCAGAATTCTGGGGAGTTTCTCTGCAGAGGTCTATCCTGTCATTACCTTAAATCCCACTGGGGCATTTATTAGCTATAAGTAACCTGACGATGGGGAAATCACTTGAGCTGGATTCCTTGTTGATACTTATACAACACACTCCATCTGCTGATGCCGGCTGTCCTCCATCACCCACCTCTTGTCCTCCTCATTCGGTCTCCTGGCTTACCTGGTTTCCTTCAAGTTTCAGCTCAAATACCATTTTTTTTGTTTGGTTTTTTTTTGGTCAGGCAATGGGGTTAAGTGATTTGCCCAGGGTCACACTGCTATTTAGTATTATGTGTCTGAGGCCAGATTTCAACTCAGGTCCTCCTGAATCCAGGGCCGGTGCTCTATCCACTGTGCCCCCTAGGCTGCCCCTCAAATACCATTTTTTGCAAGAAGCAAATGCTTCTTTAATGCTACTGCCTTCTCTCTGAGATTATCTCCAGTTTACCCTGTATGGAGCTTGTCTGTATAATTATTTGCATGTTGTCTCCCCAATTAGACTGTGAGCTCCTTGAAGGAAGAGGCTGCATTTGCTTTTATTTGTAACTATCTGCTATGGTAACTGGGCAGGTAGGTGGCGCCATAGTGCATTGAGCACCAAGTCTGGAGTCGGGAAGACTCATTTCTCTGAGTTCAAATCTGGCCTCAGACACTTCCTCGCTATGTTACTCACTTTACCCTGTTTGCCTCAGTTTCCTTTCTGTCAAATAAGTTGGAGAAGGAAATAGCAAACCACTCCAGTAGCTTTGCCAAGAAAATCCTAAATGGGGTCACAAAGAAGTGGTACTTTAGATACTGTATGTATACACACATACATAAATATTGTATAATTATTATACATCAGATTATGTATAATAACTGAAAATATCCATATCTACATACAGGTTTGTTGTGCTTACATACATTATCTTCAATCCTCATAACAATTTTGTGTCATACCTGAGATACCTCAGATACACACACACACACACACACACACACACACATACACACATACACACACCAAGGAGATCAAATCAATCAATACTTACAAGAAATTAATTCAGACTATTCACCAAAAACACAAATACTGAAGCTGAAGCTTAAATACTTTGGCCACATAATGAGAAGACAGGACTCACTGGAAAGAGATGTTGGGCAAGACTGAAGGCACAGAGAGAAAGGGATAGCAGAGGATGAGATGTATAGATAGTGTCATGGAAGCAACGAACACGAGCTCAGACAGACTTTGGAAGATAGTGGAGGACAGAAGAGCCTGGTATGCTATGGTCCATAGGGTCACAAAGAGCTGGACACGACTGAATGAACAACAAATTATGACAGCCAACATATATGTGTGATATAGATGTATACATAAATGTCAGTTATCATGAACCCCCAACCAAGGGGACTGGGAGTTTTCAACAGAGCAATGATTGTTATCAGGAGTTCCCCTTTGTCTACAAATATAGGTCACCAAAACTAGGTTCCTCTAGGCTTCCAGCCCTTTCTGATATGAAACTGCCATTACAACCAAAATAATCTCTTTAAAATTCTACTTGTCTTGTGATTTCTTGCCTTTGAACTTGCTCTCTGTCTTCCTGAAATGACCTGCCCTACCACCGTTTCTACCTGTTGAACCTCTTCTTATCTGTCAAGGCCTGGCTTGAATTTCACCTTCTCTAAGCCTTCTCTGATCTTCCCAGGCAGAAATCATCTCTCCTTCCTCTAAACCCTAACACCATTTAGGTTGTACCTTTTCCCTAACATTTGTCACTCACTACCTTACATTTTAATTATTTTTAATAATAACAGGTACTCTACAAGTACTTACTGAGTTGGCTGGGTACTGTTTTCTTTTTCTTTTTTTAAAAAATACCTTTGGATTCTGGGATGGACCAGTACATGGGCATTTATACTGATGGCAGATATGGTTTTGAGCAGCATCTCCCAGAGGGCGTAGCATAAAAAACTCCAGACTGACTATTCAATAAATGTCTGTTAAATGACTCATTAACAAGAATGCAGTGGCCAGAAAAATCCCAATTTAACTCAGAGATTATCAAAAAGTATTAGAAATGTTACAGCTGAAAGGGACCGAAAGACATCATCTAGTCCAAAACTTTCATTTAAGGTCCACTTTGGGACGTGACATCCAAAAGCGCTAATGTTATTCTAGGCTGAATTTAAGAGAGGTAAAGTATTCTGAATGAGGGAAGTGACATTTCTGCTCTACTCCAGCCTGGTCAGCTACACCTTGAGTCCTGAGTGTCACATTTTAGGAAGCACAGAGCCAAGCTCATACAAATCTATCTAGAAGCAGGCAACTAGGATGGGGAGAGAGCTAGAGAACATTTGGAAAGAAGCTAAGGTTTAGCCTTGAAAAGAGAAAGATGTTGGCAGGGGACTTCCTCCTCCTTGGAGATCTTCTCTTCATTTAAAAGAAGGGGATGCTGGGGACATTGAAGAGAAGATTTCTTGGTCATGTGCAGGTGGGACTAGTCTGAGGTCAAGCTCTGAGAGTCTACAAAGTAGCTTAGCCATGGGTAGACAACATGTCATTAGCAACTGGGAGGAGAACTGGAATCTGGCTTTAGTGGACTGGCTTGATGGCTGAGAGGCCCTCATCTAACAGATGTGCAAACGAGGGGTGCTCACAAAAGTCTGCCTAGCCTAGCGTCTCTTTGCTCAGGTATGTTTGCCCAGCGGAGAAGGGAGAGAACGGAGATAGTGTTTTGGTCTGCAGAAAGAACCTTCTCTATTTACATGTGGACTTGGGGGGTGCAAGGGTGGACCAGACTTATGATTTCATTGGCACAGGAAACTCTCTGCACCAATTAAGAAGGGTATCGGCTCCAGAACTTATGGTCTTTAAAGAGGTGACAAGGAAAGATTAGGCAACCTGCATAGGGTTACACAGCTTGTGATATCTGACCCCCCAGGTCTTACTGACTCCAAGTATGGTAATATCTCTGCTATACCACATCAACTCTTAATTTCAGCAATTTTCCCTCATTAATCAAGCTCAAATTCCAGGACGCAATCTATGACTTTTCCATTTCCTTTCTCCTTTTATCCAGCCATACAATCTTCTATCTTCTACGTGTCTCTCATGTGCACCCCTTCTGCTTTACTGATGTTATCACTCTGTCCCAAGCGCCTCAACTCTGAATCGCTTACCTGACTTCCTGGCCTCTTTCTAACCTCTCCTTGCTCCACATCCTTTCATCACTGATCTTTCTTAAAACTTTTTCTCATCTTGTCTCTTCTCTGGCTCTGAACTAGTACCTGTCAACAATATCAATTTCAAACTCCCCATCTAGGCATCTCAATTCTTCCATCACATGGACCCATTTCACCTTTCCACCTTCTCTCTTACTACTTATTCAGCACAAACTCTGGCCTTGGGTCAGGCCAGTCCCCCTCCTCTGTCTTTGCTCATTTATGCCTCCACTGAGAGGCAGCATGAGATAATGGTCAGGGGGCTAGCTTTCCAGTCAGTCCTCCCTCTGACATACACTAATGATGTCTACGTGGGCAACAGCAAAGCTTCAAGCCCCTAAGACTGACAGACAAACAAACTGCTGTTCCATATTGAAAGCAGAGAAATTTCGGACATTGGAAGTCCTCTACACGATGCTCCCACCACCTAGAATCTCTCACTCCTTCTCTCTGCTTGTCCTTCAAAGGCATTGGGCATGTTTGCCACCATGTTCCTCCTCTCCTGGCTCTTGCTCTCAAACTACATTAGGCAGCAGAGATACTTGCTTTCTTAACTCTTATAGCATATCTAGTCTACAACATGGAATCCAGCACTTAATAGCAGACTGTCTTGTATCATTCTTTGTTCCATCTCTGTTTATCTCCTCAATAAGACTCATTAAAGGCAGGAACAATGTCTTATATATCTTGGGTATCTTCCACAGGCCCCAGCAGAAGCTGGGCATATATTAGCACTGTATACAACGGACTTGACACAGGGCAAAAATCAACAGCTAAGGTAGAGGATAGACAGCTGGACCTAGAGTCAGGAAGAGCTGAGTTCAAATACGGATTCAGACATTGACCAATTGTGTATACCCTGGGCAAGTCACTTAACCTCTGTCTGCCTCAATTTTCTCATTTGTAAAACAGAGATAATAGCAGCAATTATTTCCTGGGGTTGTTGTGAGGATCAAATGAAATAACACATGAAAAGCACATTGCAAATATGAAAACTCTATACAAATGCTAGCTAATATTATCATTATAGCCATAAACTGAACAGAGGTTACTAGAATTCATTATACAAACATCAGTGGCTCATCCTACAAAGAGAAACACAATGGGTCTTGGTCCTGGATGAGGAAACCCACTTACATGCTCTCCATAAA